TAAATGTCCTTTTTCAAGCCCTGTAGGTAGTTCAATACAGCCCTCCTCTTGGCCCTGCCCCTCATCCCCCTCACATTTACCGAGGCTAGGGAGAGGTCCATTCAGATTTGCCCCCCCGCCTACTCAGCACTTCGTCTAATATTTCGTAGCAGTTTTTATCTGCCAAGACCAGCAGCTGCCCCGCAGTCTTGAGTCCGGGGCCGACCTTCTCCCTTGGTTGGTCTTTGTCCTCACCCTTCCATCGTCCGACGACCTCGCGTCCGTCGAGGAGTCTGTTGCCTCCAGGTCCCGTTTGCGGGCCGTCCTCGCTGGGCCACGCGGCGCTTTCCGCTTCCTTTTCACCACCTTCTTGAATTCTCCCTCCTGGTGCTCTCCCTCTGCTGCTCCTCTCCGTCCTCCCCCGCCTCCACCGCCTCCGCCCAGTCAACCACCGTTGGGTCGGGGGGTTTTCCCACGGACTCCTCGTCCTCGTCCCCGGGGTGCTCCACCTGCCGGCCCGTGGGATCCGCGTCTTCCTCCGACGTCATCTCCCCCTCCTCCCTCTCGTCCTGCAGTGGCGTACCCTGCCTGCTCACCTCTCCACCCCCATCCTCCATCTTCCCGCCGGGCTGCGTTGGCTTCAGCCCGTCCTCGGCCACCTCCCCTTCTCCATTCCGCCACCCTGCTCCTGTGTGCGCGGACCTTGTTTGCGTACGACAGCGGGCAGTCCCTGTACAGGTGGTCTTTATTCCCGCATAGGTTGCACAATGCCGGGGCGCAGCATTCTGACACAACGTGGTCCCGTGCCTTGCATCGGAAGCATATCCGTGCCTCGCACGCTGCAGCCAGATGGCCGCTTCCCCCACATCGCCTGCAGAGCTTCGGCTGCCCCGCGTACACCACGTAGCCCCTATTGCCACCAATGTTCAGGGCGCTCGGGATGTGTTGCAAAGCCCCTTCTGCCGTTCTCAACCTCACTCGCCATTGTCTGGCGCCCGTCCAGATCCCTAAAGAGTCTTGGACCCGTTTACTGTCCGAAAGCACCAGGCAGTGCTGCCTCAGCCACACCTCGACGTCGTGGTCTGGCAGAGTCTCATTATACAAAACACGGTGACCATTTTTGTGTCTAGCTCGGAGAGCAGTTGGAGTTTAAGCAGTGACAGTGGCCTCTCCCCGCCTTCTCCTCGAACAAAGTCATAAAGCGTTGCAGCAAGTTACTTGTCTTGAAGCTCACGTCAAAAGCCCGGCCACCCGGCAGGGCAATCAAACAAAACAGATCTGCAGGATCCACTCGCAGAATTTCTATCATCACAGACCGCACGAATCTTGGTCTGTCGATAGTGACCTCCTCAGGCACGTCCTCCTTGAAGGACACCCGTACACAATTGTGCCGCTTGGCGTGTATCGGGGTGAAGTTCACGCCCGGTCCTCCGCGCCACCGCCCTGTGTGCTCCTGGGGCCGCCCTGCCCCCACAGGTCCAGGACTTGCCTGGACAGCGTCGCTTTGGGCACCTTGCGCCTGCAGGCCCGCCGAGCTCGGTGCTTCCTCCGCCTCCTCTCCTGGGCTGGCCGACACCATTTCACTCCTCGTCGGCTCCTCTCCCTTCCTCGCCTGCTGCCACCAGGCGTCCTCCTCCGCTCGCCTCGAGGTCGACGCTCGCGCCTCGTCCCTCTCCTCTGCGGGTCTCCCTCCTCCAGGCAGTCCCACCTCACCATCCTCTGCAGCAGCCAAACTGGCCCGCTCACCTCGGCTCACCACCCCAGAACGCTTGGTCGCCATGGCCCTGAGGGCCTGCGAGGCTGCCACTGGCCAGGCAGCCAGGGAGCCGAGACTAGGCACGACACCAGCAGAGACACGGTAGAGAAAACCAGCCGCGGTCGTGGCCCTCCTCATCGGGCAATTCGCCAGAATGGTGAGGCTCTGCTGTGTCTCCCGTTCTTATATAGAGCAGCAGCAGGGTGACGTCATCATTAACTCATTAACTCATCAGGTGCAAAGATTTGAGGGGGGGTTATTGTAATTATATACTAGATTAGTAATCAGGCCATTGTTACGATGCGAGTTGTAGATTAGTAATCATTTGGAATGTGTTTTATTGTGATTATGCTACATTAGTAATCAGTTAGTGTTTGTTTCCCTTATAAGGAATTGTAATATATCTTATTTAATAATACGCTTCAAGGCCGCACTAAGCCTGTAGCTGTCTGAGCGATTAAAGTTATTTCTGTTTCTCTCAATTTCAATGAATTCTCTAATTAGTCTTTGCCAGTAGTAACTAGTTTTACACAACACTTCAACGTTGTCAAAATCAATTGAGTGTCCCTGTTGGCATGCATGTTCTGCCACTGCCGACAGTTGTGTTTGCGATAGTTTAATATTTCTCTGGTGTTATTTTAGTCTTACACTAACGTTACGCCCTGTCTGTCCAATATAGCATTTGCCACATACACAATAAATCCGATATACACTTTCTGTTGATAATTTAGGCAATTCGTCTTTAGTGCACGTTACTAGTTGTTGAATTTTGTGTACTGTACCAAATCTTACTGTAATGTTTTGCTTTTGCAAAACACGGGCTAGTTTATCAGTTACTCCTGAGATAAATGGTATTTTTATTGTTTAAAGCGATCAGACAGGGAATAAACAGGAAAATCCGAAATGTCATAACTTACCAACGAAATTAAACATCTCTGAAAATTAAAATTGATATCATGATTTAACTGAATATATCTACATTTAGGTATTGTTAACTCTGTATATTTGGAATTGTTGAGACCTCAACAGATGAACGGAAGGGAGTGATTTCCCAAGCAACTGTTCTGGCCTCACATATCGATGTGAGCAGGTGTTCAAGTGAAACCGATTTGTGTATCGAGTTTTGCAATGTTTTGACAGCTGGTTGCCCGTGTTATTTAAGTACATTGAAAAGACCAAGCTGACTTAACATAATAGATATGTATTTAAGTACACTATTAAAACGTCTTCACGTGTTGAGGTTAATTACAGCCCATAAACCGATGATTTAGGCTGTAATGAAACCCTCCAAGTCTTCATGAAGTGACCCGAGATCACGAATAGCTACACTTTCAGGAGAGAGCAGACAGTTGAGAGCCAGGCTCGTGAAGATAGGTCACAGTACGCGGATTCCCACAGGTACAGCCCGGAAAGTCATAATTGACATTACAGCAGTTAATGGGTTCATTAATTAGCCCGTTGAGCAATAACATTCCCACTAGGAAGGCATGTGGAATAATTTGAAGACAAGATCTCAAATTGATACCCAGGGGCAATAGTAATGGATGCTGGAATTCTAAGTGACATCTCATTTTATTCTGTTATGGAGGCTTGAATACTTGGTGCCCACAGTAAAACACTACCTATGAATGCACTAAATATTTAAAACCACCATAGATAATACGTTCTAAGTTATACATGCATTAACACACTATCTAAGAAAATAAACTCATTCGGTGATATATACACCATTTTTATATTTGTGCCATTTTCAACACGATGACTTGAAAAAATATGTTTCAAAAATTTAGGTTGAAGCATTTAAAAATGTATGTAGTGATTTTAAAAAAATAACTGGAAACATGACCCAATTGCTTCTAATGCAGTCACCCCCCAACCCGAGGTATACATATCACATTACGAGCTAATCTTGCCTCAAAAGACTCCTCTGGGCAATGGGTAAATCCGCAGGGCGCTGCAGCACGCACCAGCCAGCCCGGAACCTCCCATCGCGCCTGAAGGCTCACGGTCACGTGGTCCCCAAAACGCATATAAATTAGAAGATTCCACGAGCCTCACTGATCTGCCCTCAGTTCAAGCAACGAAAACAAGGTGAGTTCTCTTCTATTTTTGAGCCATTGTTCGTCAGTTATTGTTCATATTATTAGTGAGCATTTGTACGCATTTTCAGAAACTGTTTTTATTGAAGAATACGGTTTTCCCTTTTATCTGGCAACAAAACAGGTGTTAAGTTATATTCTTGGTTCTTTCGGTAAAGTCACGTAGAAGTGAAACAATAAAAAAATTTAAATATAAAACAATAAAATTATCACGACGTGTCGACTGCAACACAACCAATCATCATCAGATGTGAAAACCACAGCAAGAAATTTTGAAAGAAACGCCACTTTTTTCAAATTTTCTTGCCGTGGTTTTTACACCTGATGATATCTTGTGTTGCAGTCGACACCAGAGGTGGGACAAACTCATTGTTATGCAAGTCCAAGTCGAGTCTGAAGTCATCAAATTCATGACTCGAGTCTGACTCGAGTCCAAGTCACATGACTCGAGTCCACACCTCAGAGGTGGGACAAAGTCATTGTTATGCAAGTCCAAGTCGAGTCTGAAGTCATCAAATTCATGACTCGAGTCTGACTCGAGTCCAAGTCACATGACTCGAGTCCACACCTCTGGTCGACACGTCGTGAGAATGTTATTGTTTTATATATTTATTACTTTATTGTTTCCCTTCTACGTGACTTTACCGAAAGAACCAAGAATATGAATCCTGCAGTCACGAAAGCTTTCAATCAAAATGTATATGTAAAGTTGTTAAAACACCAAATGTCTGCATTAACCACAATACTTGTGGTCAAATGCAAACAAAAACATACTCTGATAATATAAGCATTGTCTTTGAAACTGATTGGTCCACACCAGAGACAGATTTATTTTGAGCCTCGTCTCAAAAGGTGTTAGACCAGAGGACGCCAAAAGGCGTACAGCACAAAGACAACGCACCATCAGAGTAATGAGAGCTCGGGTGGAGCATCTACATCATTGGACCTCCTTTGCCGGTACCAAAATATAAAAGGTTTCAGTTTGGCATTTTAACAACTTAACACCTGTTTTGTTGTCAGATAAAAAGGGGGAAAACCTATTCTCATATTTTGGTACTGGAAAAGGAGGTCCCGTGATGTTTTAATTCAACAATGTTTTGTTACTTCAACAGGAACTGCGTGATAAGGTCTCAGGCTATAGACGCAGGAGACCAAGGAACGCAATTATGGATAACAGAAGCTCCGTGCTATACCTCGCCACATTTGAAGCCCCGTACTCTATACAGGTGCTGATATTCAGCCTGTGCCTTGCGATGTACCTAACTATAACTGCAGCCAATCTGATGGTGCTCGTGACGGTGGCAGTGTCCACAGACTTACACAAGCCCATGCACATTTTTCTGTGCAATCTCGCAATTGGCGACATCATTATCAGCACCGGTGGCTTGCCCAAGCAGCTGCACGTTCTCCTGACAGGCGACAGAGAGATCATGTACGTGTCATGTGTCGCACAGTTGTTCACACTTCACATATCTGCTAAGAATGAGATTTTAACATTGACTATTATGTCTGTTGATCGCTACCTGGCCATCTGCTACCCATTGCACTACCACACCAAGGTTACTGCAAAGAGATCCATTTTCACGGCATTACTGTCCTGGCTGATTGCAATCGTTACAGTCAGCATTGGGGTCATCCTTCAAATTTCACTGCAATTAAGCGAAAAAAACAGGCAAATTCAAGGCATAGTTTGTGATCATATGGGATTATTAAAGTTGGCTGTCGGTGACACGAGCAAAATTGATGTTTTAGGATCGTCAATGGTTGCAACGTTGGGTGTATTTCCTCTGTGTGTGGTTGCGTACACCTATGTTCGGATTTTTATTGAGTGCAAGAATTCGAGCTCTGCTTTAAGGAGCAAAGCTCTGCACACATTCGGCACGCATTTCATGGCACTCGCTGTGTTTTTCACGTCAGTTTTTTTAAACATCCTTTTTCCGCGCTTTGTGAAGGATACGAACAGCGAGGGCGTCAACTTGAGATGCGCCGCTCAGTTGGTGCTCTTGCTCAGCCCGATTGCGAACGTACTCGTTTATTGGCTACGCACCCTTGAGCTGAGACTCGCAATTAATACGCAATTCAACAAGATATTGAGAAAGGTGCATTTCTATCCAACAATCTAAGTGAATGTATCAGATCGTGGTTGAATGATGCTTAATACAAAGCACAGTATAGGATATACCTCGGTTAACACAATGGATATGTAGTTTCAATCAATCTGATTTAAATCCACTGCCCACCCTATCTACGTGTTTTACTGAAGTCCCTGACTGGCTCGCATCAAATTTTCTTCATTTTAATAACTCTAAAACTGAAGTTCGCTTTATTGATAGAAAAAACATCAATTACCTCGCATCAGCAACCTTCTGTCCATCGACATATTTGTCAACAGGCACGAAATCTGGGTTTCATTCTTGACTCCAACATCTCCTTTTCTACTCACATTTCCTCCATGTGCAAGACTGGTACTTTCATCTTCCCAATATTTCTCGTATCCAGAACTGTATCTCCCATACAGCTGCAGAAGCAATTAATGAATTTGTAATTTCCAGGCTAGACAACTGCAATTCTCTATTATGCGGTCTTCCTTTGTCCTTGATCCTACGTGCCCAGTATGTTCATAACGCAGCTGCAAGAGTACTCAATCATACCCGGAAGCGTCATCATTTTACACCCATTTTACGATCCCTGTTCAGGCAACCTATCCAGTCTAGAATCACCTTGAAGATCGCACTCACAGACCTCCGATTTTCAGTTTAATCCCCTCCCCGGGTTCTCCATCTTCTCTAGGTCTACTCTCTACCTCCCACTTCACATCCCGCAAATCAACTCCGTATGATTAAAATCTGAACTGAAGGTAATTTTATTCATCCAGGCATACGCGAGAAAAAAAGGTAATAAATTTTTGGACTGATTGATATAAATTCGTCGTTACATTTTGGCACTCCACTGCCCCTCCTGTGAAGGTTTCCTGGCTTAGTTGGGAAATTGGGATAATGGTCTGGTATGTTGACCTATTGGACTCATTTCTTTGTTTTGATCACTTTTTTCTTGTTTGTAGGCTCTTTCTTTTGGTGCAATTCATTAATTTGTTTATTCATTTTAGATTTTATTGGTCGTTAGAGGTTTCCATTGCTTGGTTTGTACATATGTGTGTGCATGTGTTGGGCTTCATATTTTGGTTCTTTCGGTAAAGTCACGTAGAGGGGAAATAATAAAATAATAAAAGAATTAAAATAAAACATAATAAGATAAAATTCTCACGACATTTCGGCCACAACGCAAGCAGCCGTCCTCAGATGAAGAACAGGGCTGTCGGAAAGACAGCGTCCTAATGAATACTGTTAAGCTTGGCAGCGTATTTTCAAGCTGGGTCGGAGGGGGAGAGAGCCTTGACAAATAAGTTTACATATCAACAGAGGGATTTAGCATATTGATGACAATTGCAGATAAGGGATTATTTACTACTTATGGAATGTGTAAGTGGTGCGGGTCTCAAATTCATATTATGCTAGTGTATTATGTAGGATTAGCTGTAATAAAGGGAGGGAAATAGGATTAGCAGTAATAATGGGTGGGAAATCTTAATAGTAAAGAGCTGCAGCAGCGAAACCACCGCGTATCAAGCTCGTGCATTATGTGGACAACAAAAAATGAGTTTCTAAAGAACTACAATACAATACACCGATGTGAAACGAAATCTAAATATAAACTACATCAATATAATCAATGTACTCAATATACTCTCCAATAAGCTGAGCTATTAACATTAAGCAACTGGGTATACACAACACTATATAATGACTACCATACAGTTAACTTATAAAAAACTAAAATATAAAGTACATCAATATAATCAATAAACTTAATATACTCTCCAATAAGCTGAGCTACTAACAATAAGTCATTATACATTACACTTCTATGTCGAAAAAAGTGGAGTTTTTTTTCTTAACGTTAGCACCACGGAAAGCGGCGAGCGTTGTTCAGACGGACGAGTCCATCTATGCTCGGAACGGAGTAGGGGGGAGAGAGAGCGAAACAACCACGTAGCGCTACTCTGTCCTGTGCTGCGTTACAACTATGCTATAAACTAGACTACTATACATTACAATATTTTAAATTCCAATTTAAACTACACTGTATAATATCGTATACACAGCTCAATATAAGCTCTAACATTATGCATTATATTTATATGCCTCCAACTAAACTTTTTTCTACATCACGCGACTCTACACCGTACTATACACTGCCATAGACAAACCCCAACATTGAATTATACACTGCGTTACTATACACTACCTTAGGCTATACTTTGTAATATGTATTATTCTACAAACCCTAATGTATACCACACAGCTGTATATTCACTATACAATTATGATACTATATATTTTCTTACACATTCTATTAAACATTACACTATTATACTATTTATTATTATACAATCTACCATACGCCATACCATTGACAGTCGCGTGAAAGATACTAATAGGAAGCAAATAAATATGTCAATGAGAGAGTGGTAGCAGGAAACTTGCAGCGGAGCAAAGACTCCGATCCGTGAAGAAAATACAAAAGCTATATAGTCAACTAGCGGTTAGTACCCGGCGTTGCCCGGGCGAAAAAGACAGACAGACATGTAGTTACACACGCAAATCGACTGACACACATAGAGTTACACGCACAAATGGACTCACACATACATACATAGACTGAACAACAACAGCCGCCATTTTCCACTAAGTGGCGGTGACGTCACAACAACGCTTGTGCCAGGCTATGTGCAACTTGAGGCCACGTGAAGTGTCGAACGCCCGCTGGCAGGAGGTCACGGGGCAAACCCAGATGGTACAGGTCGACTGACTGAGACGACTGGCTGATGCACCACCTGTGGCCCCTACTGTGGCAACTTTCATTGCTTTAGCCACCCGGCGCTCCGCTCGTTGTTGTGAGCGTCGCTCCTCCACAGACGCCGATCTTGACACGGCTGGTACCAGTCATCCACAAGGGGACTCAGCTCCAAGTCCTCCTGTACCAAATTACTCCATCTCTTCTCCAGCACATGCCGCGCCCGTTTAGCCCCCTCGATCCGGCCGAACAAAAGCTGTTTAGGCATGCGGTGGATGGCCATGCGGGCTACATTACTCAGGCAACACAGCCTTGCCTGCCAGAGGAGGTCACCGATGGGCCTTTGTCCACATCTTTCAAGGATGTGTGAGCTCCTCACACAATGCAGCCTGGTTAAACCCAGGATGGATCGTAGGCAGGCCATCCTAAATGTTTCTAACCAGCGAAGATGTTCCATTAGGGGGGTCCAAGTTTCGCAAGCGTAGAAAAGGGAGGGAATGACCGTGGCCGAGAAAACCTGAAGCTTCGTGCGGAGTGATAGACCAGGTAGCTTCCACACAGCGTTACAAAGCCAATTAAAAGATAATGCGGCTCGATTGATTCAGAGTGAGACCTCTGCTGTTAAACCGGAGCCGGTCATTAGCACACTGGCAAGGTATGGGAAATTCTCCACTGTCTCCACAACTGCCCCATCACCAATTGGGAGTTGTGGGGGTGGAGTGTCCGATGGTACAAAATAGGCAGGCAGGTGCTTAGTTTTGGTGGGGCTGATGGTAAGGCCCCACCTCTTGGTGGCAAGCTCCATGTTCAGCAGCAGCACCTTGAACTCATCCTCCGAGTGAGCAGCAATTAGCAGATCATCGGCATACATAACGTGGTTGAGCAATAGGGAGCCATCCCTTGACCGCACCCGGACATCGATCAGCCTCCCATTATATCTGTACGAGATGGGAATTCTTCCGGTACAGCCATTGAAGGCTTCACGAACTACGTGGTCGAAATATATGTAAAATAATGTGGGAACCAGAGGACATCCCTGTTGCACCCCAAGCTGTACAGGGAATGGCTCTGACTCACGGCCACATAGTTTGACGCGGTGCCGCTCACCATCATGAAGGTCCTTAAGGATGGTGAGCAGTGGGTCAGGGAGTCGGAAAGCACGAAGAACAACCCAGAGGGCAGGCCTACTGATGGTATCATAGGCCTTGAGCAGGTCAATAAAACACACGCATGGACTAAGACGCACACATGGATCTACAAACACGCAAAGAAATGGAGTTATACTGACTAACATGGAGGCATGCACACACAGTGACTAACACACACGCACATAGACTGAGACACACACACATATGGACTGACACACACAAACACATCGACTTACAGACACACACACACATACGGACTCACACACACATAGACATGCACTTGAGATACGCACACATGAAGTTACACACACATATCGACGATCACACATACAGCGACTCACACACATACATAGAGTGACACACACATTGCCGTACACACAGATACACATATGGACTGTGACACACAGACATATACTTTAGATACACAACATGGATTAACACACATATGGACTGACACACAGACGCATTGACTTACACACACACATCGAATGACACACACACATGTATAGACTTACACACACATATGTACTTACACACACACATATGAACTAAGACACACACACATGAACTTACACATACATAGACTGACACACACATACACATATGGACCGTGACACACAGACATCTACTTTAGATACACAGACAAGCATTAACACACAAATGGACTGACACACAGACGCATTGACTTACACACACACATCGAGTGACACACACACATGTAAAGACTTACACACACATGTGGACTAACAACACACATATAGACTGACACACACATACACATCGACGTACACGTACACAGATCGACTGACACACACACACGGACTAACACACACACATAAACACTTTGACGTACACATGGGGCGTTGTCCGTTCGTAAAAGACAAACACCCACATGGAGTTAAAGACACGCATGGCTCTACACGCACACACATATGGACTTAAAGACACACACATGGACTCACACACACACATCGACGGGCACAGCAATCCCCGATGATGGCACAGCTATCAGTATCGCAGTACTACGTATGAGTTAATAGTGCGACGTGAGCGATGGAAACAGATGGATTTAGGCTGCACTTCTTTCCCAGTAAGGCCACTAGATGGTCGATCACGGCATC